AGCCTTCGTCTGTCCACAACAAAATTAGGCTGCTTTCCAGGGTTAGTCAGCCTTCAGATGAACAACCAAAGGTTACTCTACACCAGAAAACAAACAGGTGTATAAAATATAAATAAACGCAGTATTTTAATAAACCTTGGTTAGAGTATGTCCAAGTTTAACATCTAGAGCTTCTGCTTTCTATGCAGATATTGAACTTAAAAAACAAACAAGTTGACGTCTTTTAATATGAGTCTAAGCATATTTGACTTAATATGCCAACTCGCTTTGATTGAAAACAATGAAATTATTTCATTTTTTGCAGCTCAGTGATTGCTATGCATTTGCTATTAATTTACCGCATTTTAATCATAATTAAAATGGCTGTACATGTGGCTGTATGGGGATGATGACCTCTAAGCATGTAGGATGCAAACATAAGGACATAGACTAAATGAAATAACAGTTAAACCCAGTATTATAGTAACAGAAAGGAAATAAAGACCTGATACAGAAACATCAACATTTATCCCTCTGATGCAGATGTAGAAAATATGAGATACGACCAACAGCCCTATGGTTGCTATGATTTAAACATCCCTCCCACAGTTTTTGTGAAATTCTATTAGAATTACCATTATGTAATGAGTACTCAGATCTATAAGAATTTAGCTATAAATCAAATTTCTTAGCCTTTAATATTACATTATTTTTTTGATAATTGTTCTAATCCAGCCCTCTTGACAGTGAAAGGTGAAAAGACCAATTATGATCCCCCAATTTAACCAGAATAACTGACTGCTTTTATCAGCGGTTAAATGCCCATGAGAAGGCAAACATTTAAAATTAACGTCACCACGCTAATCACCGATATTGGATGGTTTTTAAACCACAGTTGCCTTTTCCTGTTTGAATAGATTAAAATAAATATACTTCCATGGTCAGTTTAAGAAATACAGGTTAATGTAAACTGGTCTAGATCCCGGGATGAATACATATAGGTGGGCAAATATTGGTTGCTTAAAATTGCTGAGAAATACAGAAGATTACGGAAGATCACTGTATAATAATAAAAACAACACTTAATTACATTACCCCATTTGTTTTAAACGGCAAGTTCAAATTATTATTTTCCCATTTATGAATCATAGGTAATAATATGGGGCCCCACAGAGTTTATTTGGTTGATCAGGGGTCATTCTCATTAAAAGTCTGATGGACAGTCACATTTTTGTGGAGTAAAGACTTAAAAGACAGCTTAATGACAATCCCTGTGTTCATAAGGATCATATATTCCCTATGTGAATTTAAAACAATCCTCCAAAAAAAAACTACCAAGATCAACCTAAAGATCCTGACACTGAACCTGGACAACTTATGTTAATATAAGTTACATAATCAGATGCTCTAGCTGAGCAGAGAACAGTTTTTGGAGTGGGAGCTACTCCCTTATTTTCCTCTATAAACTGCCCTGATTAGCTTTAGGGGGCCAGGGGCCACTAATCAGCCAGCCACCATCTGACACACTGGAACCCCTTACACTACAAAATATTCTCCAAAAAGCTAAACAACTAGAAGAAATACAGCAGATTAAAAGAAAGTCGAAGATAAGCAATGCTGCATTCATGCAGACAAACTGAGGAATATCCTGAATATTACAGAATTTATAAAGGATGCCCTCCTGGTGAACAACGATGCAAACGCACAGGAGAAATCCCTTCTTGTTAATGACAGCTAGACTGATCTGAAAGCTTCACATTTTTGGTGATAACTTAATGCATTTACTGTTAAAACAACAGTACACAATAAGGAAACATTAACAAATATATGTATAAACAAGAAATGTTTTATCAATATTAACAGATAAATGTATCATATTAGCTCAGCATAGTTTACATACAAGAAAGAACAAACAAAAAACAGTTCTGAATAGAAGTGCTTTTTTTTCCTGCCAATTCGCTGTAGCATTGTTGACATTTTTGAAAGCGGATCTGAGAGCAACAGCGCCCCCTTGCGTCCGTTCTCCTCAACTACGCCGACAGCAGGCCCCCCTTCCTAACGTTAGACACAAAATGTCGGTATTGCTCAAGTCACATGACCCCTTTGTACTTAGAAACCCGTCTCATGCATACACAAATCACCAAAACGAGGATTTTCTTCCATATACAGAATCGCCGTGCTTTAAAGTATCCAAAACTACCAGCCATGTCACACAAACGAGCCGTTTGATGCCCCAAACCGTCGTCTTTCTCTTTAGAAAATTGGCGGCCATTTTGCGATAGCTTGCGCAGGAAAAAAAGAGGGGCGCCTCTGATCGTTTAAAAAATAAAGCAAAGCTTATACCATCACATTTTTAAAAAAATATATACATTACCGATTCCTCTTCCTTCTCCATTCCCGTCGGCATCTGCGGCACAGCCCGGTTAATGGATGCATATTCGTGTAAGTCGGGTAAATCCTCACAACGGAAGACGGGTAGTGGCTTGGAAGCGTCCAGCGCCCGTGCCCGAAACGACAATTTACTCATTTTTTTTTACAATTCCAGATGCAATATAAATCTATCCGATCTCCTAATGTTCACAACGGCACCGAGTGGAGCTTTCATGGATGTTTCTGTGCGGTTAGTCTCTAACGTTCGGAAGGTTCTAGCTTGGATTTAGGGCGTCGCCAGCGGAGCTGGGGGAAGGCCCGGATCTCGGTCGCTCTCTCTCGGACTGTTTTTTTCCGACGCTCCGCTCCCTATCGGTGGTTCAGTGCGCCATGGACAACATGGCGGACATTTAAAAACTCTTTTGCTCTGTTTCGCTCGGAGCGGTCCAACCCCCAGTTCGTGGACCGACCATTCCCACACGGTCCCGAGCGCTTGCGCGTTACCGGGGTTGGGGGAAGGGGGTATTTATTTCAAACCAACTCCGTTCCACACACACACATCAATTATTGAAATAAACCGTAGACATGGCGGAAATACCGGGTAGTAGGTATGATGAGGAAAATTAACACATTCAGTTAGATATTCTAATATTAAAAAACAACACATTAGACAGTGGAAAATAATCATTTTTGCATCTTAACTGAAACATAAAACTTATTTAAAACGGCTAAATAATTCACATTTGTAACATTAAGTGAAAGATAAATATAATAATAAAAAGGCTTAACCAGTCGTATAGAAAAGCCATTTTAAAAATAAAAAAGGTAAATACAAATAAACAAGGTTTAAAATTAGGAGTTTAAAAAGTAATTATCCTATTTAGGATAGTTAAAACATTTAAAATGGAAAAAAATACAATAAAAGCTACTTCTATTTAAAACGAATAATATGCTTTAATTTTACCATTCAATCTTAATCTAAGCAGCATAGAAATTTTCCAGCTTTTTTTTATATATATATATATATATATATATATATATTTATTGCCTAGTAGGTTTGCACTTACAAGGAATTTTAGCATATACGCATACATATTATACACATACACACAATATATACACACACATACATATGTATACACACACACACACACCTACATACATACAGACACATACAAACACATACAGGGCTAAAAAAAAAAAAAAATTCGGATAAATCGTGACTAATCAATTATTGAAATAATTGTCACCCAAGTTAGTTATCGATTTATCAGACAGACTTACTAAAATCTTTTTTGTCTGTCCATATGCTATATCCAGCACTTCTAAAGTGGAAAAGCTTAATCTTCACTTGGTTTAATTTCACAGAAGTCTGTGAGCAACCTTTGCTATCCGATTATAAAACTAAAAAAATAATTGACAGACTATGTAACCAATTATTATTTTGCAAATTGATTTATATTATTAATATATATATATATATATATATATATATATATATATATATATACACACACACACACACACACACACACACACACATATACACACATTATTACTTTAATAATCCCAGAGGGAAATTACTTCTCTGCATTTAACCCATCCCCTTTGGGGAGCAGAGGGTTGCCATCGTGTGGCGCCCGGGGAGCAGTGTGGGGTTAAGGGAGATATGTATGTATGTATGTATATATATATATATATATATATATACATATATACACACACACATTTTTTTTTTCGCTCTCTGTAACAGGGGAGGCTCAATCGTGTTTATTAACGAATGTTGAAACACATACAACATCACTGCAACTGGTGAAAATAGCCGTTGCGAAGCCCTCTGAAATAAAGTCCAGAAACCACAGCAAAAGTTCAGCACGAGACGACTGATCTGACTCAATGATCACTTTTCCCTCTTGACCAATGAGGAAAAACCTCCTCGCTCTCTGGCCACCGTCTGTCAATCATGAAGTACGTTTGCCAATCAGCATCAAGCAGCCAGCTTCATGACCTGCCCCATAGACCCCTAAGAGGCTGAGCCTTACTGGAAATGATGTATTTTGGCATGTCTTCTAATCAGGGCTCTACTTTCTCCCTGCTTACCTCAATAGACTGAGACTCAAACCTCTACAGGGATAGCGAGCTGATTAATGTGCAACATATTCATCAAATAAGTCACATTTTAGCATATATCTGATGTAATTTAATGAATACATTTATGAAGTTTGATAATGCGTATTTCCCCAATGATTTTACAAAATGTACAGGGGTGGTTTAGACTCCTAATATTCAAAGAGAAATCCCCACTGATATATACACACACGCACACAAACTAAAGGAACATGACTAATCTCACTCAAGTCCTTGATCACTAACTGATTAACTAAACCTAATGACCTAACTGGCATAAAAAAAAGAAAAAAAAAGATGTTTACTCCAGGTTAAATGAGTCACAATGAGAACAATACTGTCTATCAGGAAGGAAAGGGAAATGAACCAACAGGCATGATTGTTTTCAAGTACAACAGTGCGGACCAGCCCCCATTAAATTATATTTCTGAAACTCCTTTACTTTTCTATGTAGCCAAACCGTTAGCGTTCGATCGATTTTACATGGATAGAGCAGCATTCAAACTCCATGGAAGCATCTTACCTGTTGTTGTTAGTTGATGTGATCATCCAGGGTCTTGGCAGATTATCAGAGTTCTTTTTGTCATCCTTAAATCCATACACAGCATGATGTTTATCTGGAAACAAAGACGGAAACAAATTAAAAGAAGATCAGGACAAATGGGATTTGCACAAAGTAAAGAGAAGATGAGACAAGTCTCCCCATCAACTGATGACTGTCAAACTTGTCTGGAAGTCAAATAGTTTAGCCGAACAGCCAATGCGTGCAGACTAAATCTATGTAGCTTGGCCCAAAGTACATTTATAAACAATACTTTCTGAAATAGAATGACTTGAAAATACAAGAGGGACAGCAAACTTCCTCATTTGTTACTTGAATCCTGATAAAACACAAACTCGCTTTCTGGCATGTGCAAATATTCAAGTTTGTTATAAGATGAAGTGCCTAACAACGAGGAGCCTTCTTTCCTCTGGAACCGTTTCCAGATCATGATGGCCGCAATAAGAACTCAGGCTTTTATAATCATAAGAAAAACAATGCAATTTTCACAGAGTCACTCAGTTTTGTTCATATTAGATGTATCAAGCCCTTTAGGTGGTGGTATTGATTAATGTGGGCTTGGCGCCACACAGAAGAGAAAAAGGAGTTGCAGCTGGTGTTCTGATCCAAGTAAGTGGGCAGAACTTTGCACGTTCTCCAAACAGCAGGAACTGCAAAGTCCTGCAACAATTGACTCTAAACCAGCAAGCTTTCAAGATCATCAAAACAATGAAACCTTGCGGTTAAACATCCACATTCTTATGTTTAGTGCAGAGAAAAATTATGATCATAATTTGGATTTCGTTTAGTGGGGTGCCCCAGTTAACATGAAAACGGGTATGCTGAAACTACATAAATATGCACACCTAAAGCCCCTGTCACACCATGACAATTTAGACCAGCGTATTCCTGACGTACGATAAATCTGGCAAAAGCGCTGGCAAACGTTGGAAAAGTTATGGGTATGTTCTGTATAAGTTAAGAGCACGCTGAAACACGCTGAAACACGCTGGTTTACGTGGACCTACTTGCTGTAGGTCCACGTGAGCATGCTCAAAATTTCCCGATGTATGCCAGCTTATGCCCTACGTGGTCCATAAGTTACATGTAAGTTATTACCATTGACATATGTTAAGTGTAAGTTACTCATAAGTATTGGTGTCTAGCTTATCCACAACCTATGAGTAACTTGTGCATAACTTAAGAACTGATCTCCAACGCATATCAACGTATCTGACATGTTCCAGACGACCACTGAACGTGTTTCTAACTTACAGCAACTGTATAATCAAAACGCTGCCAATGTATAATGGCAGCGTTTTGGTACAAAAGGAGGTTCACAATAGGAAACTGTCAGTACTCCACAAGACTGCATCCCCATCATAGGGTGAGCGAGAAGGTGAGTGTGATGGATCCTCTTAGCCAACATTTTCCAGAGCAAGGACCCCCAAAATGATGGCGAGATGTAGCACGGACCCCCTAATTATATATACTGTATGAAATTGTGTTATATCAAACTGGTCCTGTAGTCACTCTATTACAGATGGAGTAATGTAACGAAAGTAATTTCACCCTGGGATTCTGATTGTGATTCCTGGTTGATGGCACAGGTGTTGTGAATGAAACTGTGCCCAGCCTGAAAGAGCTCCTGTGTGTCACTGAATGTGTGCATTGATGACTGAAAGACATCTTCTGCCTCCATTTATCTGTTTACTACAGTGTGTTGGAAAAAATTGCATGGGGGGGAATAAAAAAAACCAAAAAACATTGCCTAATCAACCAACAATTTCGCGACCCCCATGCAGTACCTCTGTGGACCCCTGTTGAAGACCTCCAGTCTAAGTGTTCATGCCCACAGCCACGACCAACAAACCTCCGAGCAGACATGACTCTGAATCTGCTGGGACTGCAAACCTTCTTTTTTCTTTATTTTTTGCCAGGCGGTAAGCAGCAGCTAGGTTAATTCCGTGAACAAAGATGCAGACTGGGCACCGGAGGAGAGCAGCTTTAACTGATGCTTCCTAATGCATAAGTGAGGTTGTTGTTGGACATAAGTTCTGGACTCATGATGAATCCATAGAAAGTTCAGCGTATGACAGCGTTTTAGGAAATTCTGGGACGTCAGGCTTACGCTGGCTAACACTGCAAGGTGTGACAGGTCCCTAAAGAAGCGCAACTGAAGAAGAAAATAAATGTCATGGCACTGACTAAAGGTCCTCCATCAGACCGATTTCTCATATATGCGCCAGTCTCTCAGTAACCAGCACAGTACATTCTGGGTGCAATTTGGAGCTGTACGAGATTTTTAACAGAAAGAGCTCCTGCATATTTCAGTGTACAGAAGATTTAATATTTGGGAGACAATATACAGGCAGCTAACTAACAACATAAAACACTGGCTACGTACTGTCGTAAAACTGGTTTAAAAATTCAAAATTATTTATGCTTTTAATTCATTTACGGTATATTCTTAATGATTAGTGGATTTGTTTTTGATGTCAGCTAGTTAGAGACAACGGGTGGAAGAGATTACAGTCAATTTAAAAAAACACTTAAAAGTGATACATTTCAGTTACTGTTTACTAATTACATTAACCTTATCTTATATTAACCTTATCCTATAACTGCTTTACAAGTTTAAACATGACAGCCATCTGCATTTGAATCCCACCATCTGTATTACACAGTTTTAAAACAACCCTCTGAGATTTATCTAAGAATGTCTGTTTCTGCAGATCAGTCAGATTAATTCAAAAAAAGCACGTGCCAAAAACATTGCTCTAAAATTTGGTTAAAGTGGTAAAATAATTAGCCCATTTTTTGCCACTATCTGCCCTTTCTAATAATCATTAGAACAAGGTCATGATAGCAACGCCTCCTGAGATAAACCCACCGTGTGTGGTGGGTTTAGAGTGATCCTGTATGGCTGACTTGGCCTAATATCCTTGATTGTGGGATGTTATGAGTGCACACAAGGGCACAACCTGTCAATTGTATGTGTAGACAATCAGAAATAATTTCCTGAAGGGAAAAATAAACAATAAAACTCACCATTGTAGCAAATGGAGCCCCTGATCACTGGTCTCCAGTCTAAACAAATGGCTTTTGTAGTTGTAATATTTTTCCCGTTAATAATAGCTCACAAGGTATTAATTCTGCCGTCTCCTCATTGGCCTTGTTCATTTATTCTGAACATTTTGTGATATTTCTCGTCCTGCATCTGATTTTTCCTGAGTAAAATCTGTTGGTGTGTGAAGAGCTGGAAACAACACACTGAAGAACCAGACCTTTTATATTAAAAACCTTTTTTATCCTCATGAAAGGGGTCTCTTTAAGTTATGAAAAACCAGCCCACAACTTTAAAATCCTGCCATCTGAACCTGGCATAAGTTCATCGGAGAGCAGCTTCCATCTTCTCAGGGCTATGTGGATGGAAGCCCAACAACCCAGCTCCAAAATGTGTTGCATCCACTGCTATGAATCCTATGAACGTCAATGTGAACTTCATTTAAATTTCCAAACTAGAAATGAATCAGTATCAAGTCTCAATAAGGTTGTTTCAAGTGGTTCCATCACACAGAACTTGTTAGACTAATCAAGCTATAAGGAAAATAAGGTAAGAGAGTGCCGTCCCTCCCCCACTCGTTGATGGCACACTCCTGGTAGCTACTTCACCAGATGCCTAAACTAATTATCTATCGATATTATGGTCTTTTTTTTTTTTTTTTTCACCTGGTTTGGCCCTAATTTTGAGGAATTCAATCATTAACAACATTTCCCATACACAGGTGGTTGTTGATTAAATCAAAAGATTTTCCTCCAAACTGGCTCTGAAGGCCGACCGGCTGGGAGCAAGCACTGAAATCCAACAATTTTAGGGGTCAGTTAACCCCATGTAAGACATAAAGCGACGAGTCTGTATTTAATTACACCTGGAGAGGAAGCTGGAGGTATGAAACTAACACAAAAAAAATTCAAATTTAGTCATAAAACTGAAAGTGAAAATGAGTGCAAATTAGAGGCAAGAGGAAAATTAATGGGCAAAACATTTATATTTTCTAAATAAAGACTAACTATACTTTCCTACAGCCTTCGCCAACAAGTAGACGCATATACTTAAACATCTGTGCTGTCTAAATAAAAGGTATAGTGGATCAGATTCTTTCAGTTTTGAGATCTGGGGCGTAAATCTTTCCCATCGTCATTACTTACCTACGTGTACCAATAAACATTCTGCATAAAATTAATATTTAAAAGCACCAATATCTACATAAATTGATAAGTTTTTATTAAAATAGTTTTATCTATGATTTCACTGAAGACTCTCAGATGACTTGCAGAGACACATCATTTTCTATTTACTCCATAATCTAGTTCTGAAAAGAGCATGAATTCTGCATTTATCATCTTTGATGTTACTATATTGATGTGTATAATTCACCACAAAAAATACAAATGTTTTAAATATTCCACTTGAGAGTATGACTGCTGCCACCATCTGTACTAGAGGTAAAAAATGGTAGGGGTGGCCACAGGGGTGGCTAATGATTGGGTAAAGCCTGACGTACACTCTGAGATTTTCGGATTTGCTGCGATTTTCCAGTGGTGCGAGAATCTTTCGATTGGGCCGACTTTCAGCCTGATTGTGCGTTGTGTAGTGCACAGAGGGTAACAAAGGTCGATCAGCCTCTCACGACCACCTCTCGATCAGGAATCCTCAGGTTGGGAGAAAATCAAACATGTTTGATGACCGTCGTGGGCAAATCGCTCAGTGCGCAAACAAGGATTCTTCTTTTTCTTCTACCTCTCAGAGCATGGCGGGGATGCAATGAGTGAAATGGAGTTCTGTCTATAAAGTTCACAGACTGTAGTAAACGCAATTTCTCAGCTATGTCTTTGTCCAACTAAGTCGTCGCCTCTTCTTTTAGGGCTTTCAGCACAAAATTGGAGAAATTGCCAAGGCAGGGTGTTTCACCACAGTGAGCTTCATATTCCCTTTCTATTTGTTTGGCTCCCGGATAGATGAGTCAGGGCAGCTCTGTCTCACTGCGAAAGCTGAGTCCAATGTGGTTTTTAGACGTTCAGTGTGAGCAGGTAGCAGGTTAGAGCGTTGTGCTGCACATACATTGTGAGCTGTGAAC